TCTGGCCCAGGACAGATTTCTCGCTGCAGGCACTCTGTGACTGCCCTCACACTGCAGTTTGTTCAGCTGTCCACTCTTCTGATGACCCTGGGTCACAATATGAAAATAAACAGGCAGCTATTTTGGAGAAAGAATCCCAAGGGGCAAGACTGGGGTCTGTTAGTTTCCAATCCTGCCCTGAGTCATCATTCAGAAGGTTGACACGGAAGAAAAGAGAAATCAGAAGAGGAAACCCTGCATCCAAGAGTCTTTCTAAGATAGGTGGCTTCCTGGGCTTCAGCAAATAGGGTCGCCATGGGAACCAGGTGCAAACAGATGGCCTTGAATGGAATAGGCTGGCCTAGACCTTCTGCTAAATGTGTCTAGGCAGGCCATTGGGCACAGAGTGGGATTTCAGCATGCCATGCGGTGTGGACAAATTCTGTGGTTTCTAGGCCTTAGAAACCACGTAATAGAGATCAGGAGAAAAGACGCAGATGTGGTCATGTTCCTGGCTTTTGCTCCCTTCACCCAGCTAGCTCCTTTTTATTAATCCTTTGGAGGTTCATTTAGATGGCATTTCCTCTGAGAAGCCTGTCCTGACCTCCAGTCAGCCTACAAGGACCCTTACTTGTACCCTGTGCATTTTGTGAAAGAGACTTACTGGAAGCTTCCTTCTCTACCTCCTTCCCAGTTCCTAGCATGTACTCAGCTCCCAAGATACGGACGTAGTTTATTTGGTAGATGTGACTTTGAAAACATGCCAGTATTTTACATAATTATAAAACACATTTAAAAAAATAATTCCTACAATCTGATAGCAAACTGAAACAAATGAACCTGTGCATTGAGTTGCTGACAGAGCCACACAGAGAGGACTTTGGCGACTTTATTTGCCCATATTTTTACTCTTTTCCTTTTTCTTTCTTCCTTATTGATGTTTTGAGACTTTTTAAAATCATGTCCTTTCTATTTTAGGAACTTCCTGTACCCATTGTTTCTGGGTAGATTTGCTATAACAGATTCTCTTGGTTTTCCTTCATTTGAGAATGCCTTGATTTTCCCTTCATTCCTGAAGGATATTGTCTCTGGATATAGAATTCTGAGTTGCTGGTTCTTTTCTTTAAACACTTGAAAAAATGTACCATTTTCTTCTGGCCTCTGTGGTTCCTGATGAGAAATCTGCTGTCTTTCCAATTGTATTTCCCCTGTGGTGGCACGTTTTTTTTTTTTATTAAATAAAAGAATGAATAAAATAATTGATCAGCTCCACAGCCTAACAGCTCTATAACCTTGGGCAAGTTACATTCCTAAGGCTTGGTTTCTCTGTATAGAACATATGGGTGGTAATTGCACCTTTCTCTCAGGGTTGGCATGAGGATGAAGCAAGATGACATGCAAAGGGCTGAATGCAGTGTGTGGTGTATAAACCACTGGATAATCTCAGTTGAATGAAGGAATGAATGCATGCGTGGATGAGGTGATTAACGCTCCAGTGCCTCTGTGTGAAGAAGTCATATGCTCCAAGGAGAGGCCTTCAGCTGGGAGTGAGAGATGGGCTTGAGTTTTTCTCTGACGCCAAGTCTCTGTAGCACAGCACTGACACCATTTACCTTCTCTCTTTTAGCCTCAGTTTCCCCCACTTGGATAATAAAGGATTGGGCATCGACTGTTGGTTCTCATTTTTTCAGTGTGCACTAGAATCTCCCAGAAAAAAAAAAATTTAAATACTAATGCCTGGACCCCATACCAGACTGACTTGAATCAGACTATTGATAGAAGAGGCCCTGGGATTGTTGTGTTTGTTGTTGTTGTTGTTGTTGTAAGTTCCTTAGGCAATTCTGATGCAGAGCAAGAGTTGAGACCCTCTGGTCCTGATGGGTCCATGGATGAATGTCTTGGAAATGTTTGTGGCCCCTTGGTTGTCCTCTTATCTTCTCCAACCCCACCCCCTGGAAGAAGGTCCCCTGAAATCCATTGTGCTTTTTCCAGCCACCGCACGAAAAGCAGTCTTGGACTCTAGGAGCTTCTTGTTTGGTGTGGGTCACAGTCGATTTGAACAGTCATCCGCTTTCACCATCAGCTGGTGAGAACATGGAGAGATGTGCACAGCATTGTGTCAGCACCTAAAAACCTCCTGCAGCTGTTCATGCTTCTTCAGCAGATACAAACCACTCTCCAGGCCTCCAGGTCCTGAAAGATCAGGCTCCGACTTTCTCATCTGACCTTGTCTTATAAAATATTGTGGGATAAACGTATCAATTTCTACTAAAAGCCAGCTGGGATTTTGGTAGGGATTGGACTATGGCTGCTTGAGGCTAGGATGGAAGTGGGGCGTGACTACAGACAGGCAAGGGGGACCTCGGGAGTGATCAAAGAATTCTAAAACTGGATCATTGCAATCACTACACAGTTCTATCAGTTTACTTTAAAAATTATTGAACCGACACTTATGGTGGGGAAATTTTATAGTATATACATTATGTTCCAATAAGCAGTTTAAAAATAAGTAGCAGCCACAGCATAGAATTGTCTTGAGAACACAAACCTGGGCTGGACGTGGCAGCTCATGCCTGTAATCCTGGCACTTTGGGAAGCTGAGGTGGGAGAATCACTTGAGGCCAGAAGTTCAAGACCAGCCTGGGCAGCATAGCAAGGTCCCATCGAGAAAAAGAGAGAGAGAGAACACACACTCAAGCCAGACTCTCTGTAGCCCAGTTGTTACCACTTACACTCCGTGTGGCCTTGGACACATGGCTTGACTTTTCCATGCCTCCCTTTCCCCACAAAGAGTTCAGGATGCTACCTGACTCTACTAGTTCACTGTTGAGATTGCCATAGCCATCTGCTCCTCTCTCTTGACCCTGCTGACCCTTCTGTTTCCCCACCCTGCCAAGCCACTCCCCACCCCCAGGTCTCTGCATTCAGTGTCTGTGAACCGTCTTCAACCAGGATATTCCCATGCTGGCCTCTTCCACCCATGGCTCAGCTCAAATGTCATCTCAGAGAGGCCTTCCCTGACCCCGCTCACTTCATTGACGCCCCACCTATTCATTTACTTATTCACTGAATAGCATTTCCTAGCAGTACTAGCGGTAATAAAAAATACTAGTATTTTCTAGTAGCACTACAAATATTTTCTTCATATGTAATACATAAGACAACTGAAGCCCAGAGAGATAAAGTCATTTCACTTATCTATTCAACACATAATCATGACCACCTCACACCCATTAGAATGACCACTATATGAATTAAAAATAAGTAAGCATTAGCAAGGATGTGGAGAAACTGGAATCCTTGTGCACTGTCTGTGGGAATGTAAGATGGCACACTCAGTGGGAAACAGTATGGTACCCAAAAGAATTGAAAATAGTATCCCAGCTGGGCACAGTGACTCACGTCTGTAATCCCAGCTCTTTGGGAGGCCAAGGACGGAGGATTGCTTGAGCCTAGGAGTTCAAGACCAGCCTGAGCAACATAACAAGACCTCGTCTCTACAAAAAAAATCAGAACGTTAGCCGGGTGTGCTGGTGCGTGCCTGTAAAAAACCTCAGCTACTCGGAAGGCTGAGGCGGCAGGATGGCTTAAATTCAAGAGTTCGAGCCGGGCTCAGTGGCTCAGCCTGTAATCCCGCGCCTTTGGGAGGCTGAGGCGAGTGAATTGCCTGAGCCCGCGGGTTCGAGACCCGCCTGGGCAGCGAGACCTCATCTCTACAATAAATCAAAAAAATCAGCCGAGCGTGGTAGCGCGTGCCTGTGATTCCAGCTCCTCGGAAGACGGAGGCGGAAGGATCGCCGGAGCCCAGCGGGTCGAGGCTGCGGTGGCCGGGAGCGGCCACTGCCCTCCAGTCTGGGCGACCGAGCGAGACTCCGACTCAAAAAAAAAAAAAAAATTCAAGAGCTCGAAACTGCAGTGAGCTGGGATTGTGCCACTGCACTCCAGCCTGGGTGACAGAAGAAATATCTGTACAGTCACATTACAGCAGCATTGTTCACAGTAGCTCAAGGGTGTAAGCGACCCAAATGTCCATCGACCGATGAATGGTTCAACAAAATGTGGAACACACACACAAAAGAATGTTATTCGGTTATTAAAAGGAAGGAAATTCCGATATATACTATGACATGGACCTTGCGCTAAGTGAGATAAACCAGTCACAAGAAGATAAATTCTGTATGATTTCACGTATAGGAGGCTCCTAGCGTAGTCAAGTTCACAGAGTCAGGAGGTAGAATGGCGGTAGCCAGGTCTGGGGCCGGGGTGAGGAGGAGCTGTTAGCGGGTACAGAGATCCAGTTTTACAAGAGGAAAAAGCTCTGGAGATGGATGGTGGTGATGCTTGCCCAACAGTGTGGATTACTTAATGCCAATGAACTGCGCACTTTAAAGTGGTTAAGATGGTAAATTTTATATTATGTATATACCACAGTTCTTTTCAAGATAAATAATTTTTAAAGCATGATTTTCAGACCCAGTGCAATGGCTCATGCTTGTAATCCCAGCACTTTGGGAGGTCAAGCGGGGAGGATCACTTGAGCCTAGGAATTCAAAACCAGCCTGGGGAACATAGCAAAACTTCGTTTCTACAAAAGAAATCAAAAAATTAGCTGGGCATGGTGACCCAAGCCTGTAGTCCCAGCTACTCAAGAGGATGAGGTGGAAGGATCGCCTGAGCCCAGCGGCTGGAGGCTACGGTGAGCTATGATTGAACCACTGCACTCCAGCCCGGGTTACAGAGTAAGACCTTGGCTAAAAAACATAAAATCTAAAAACAAAACATAATTTTCAAGGTAATGCGCCCAACAGAATCTGTTTATTTCTCACCACAACCCTTTGAAAATGTTGTTATTTATTTTCCTCAGCTACTGAGGAAACTGAGATTCAGAGAGATTTGGTAACTGAGGTCACAGGTTCTTTTCCCAGCCTGTCACACACAGCACCTTGCCAGCATCCTTCCCTCCACATTCCTCTCTGCCTGTAAGACACCGAATCCCTAACCCCTGTTCCTCCTCCCCGCAGGCACGACGGGCATCTATCAAGGAGCAAATGGACTGACCAGCACGGCCGGCTTCGGGAGCGTGCACCAGGTGGGCAGAGCTCCCGCCCAGTTCTTCTCTCGGGCCTTTCTTTAAATGTGCCCCTTAAATCAGGGCACCCAGAGACCCACTCACACTCCCCACTGGAAGCCCCCTCTTATTCCATGGATTTAGAGACTGCGGTGGCCAGATTATGCAAAAGGCCACTGGAAAGATGCACTATGCAGGCAGAGACATTGGAATTATTAGAAGATTCCCAGGTTGTCACAGTGACGTTCAAGTACCTTCCATGTTGACCTAAGCCCAGGACACCTATGAACTGTTGAATCTGGAATATAAGGATACAAATGGGTGTGTCCTTTCACCATGCCATGGGCTGCTCAGGAGGGACCATCTATATTGCTCACCTCTGCACCCCAGTGTTGACAGCCCAGCACACAGTAGGGGCTTTTATTTTTTTATAAAGCAAGATTTATTGAGAGAACAGAAGAGCTCCCACAGCAAGAGGGGACCCAAAGGAGTTGCCCTACGAGGGGCTTTATAAATGCTTGTTAAGTTGAACAAAGTCGACTCCAGGAAGGTAAATACTGGCCAATATTTTGATTCTCTTGATTTCAGTTATAGAGTGAGTTAAGAATCAGCCTGCCAGAGGTATATAGGAACTCTCCTATTTGTATACCTTTCCTGTAAGCCTAAAATGATTTTAAAACAAAAGATTTACATGCTTTCGGATTAGTGTTAAAATAAAACTACCCGGGGTAGATAGCCTTTAGGAATATTTAACATATTTAGCCAGGTATGGTGGCTCCCATCTGAATCCTAGCACTTTGGAAGATTGAGGCAGGAAGCTCACTTGAGGCCAGGAGTTGGAGACCAGCCTGGGCAACATAGAGAGGCCCCATCCCTACCAAAAAAAAATGTAAAAATTAACCAGGCATGGAGGCACACACCTTTAGTCCCAGCTACTCAGGAGGCTGAAGTGGGAGGATTGCTTGAGCCCAGAAGTCTGAGGCTACAGTGAGCTATGGTCATGCCTCTGCACTCCAGTTTGGACCACAGAGCAAGACCCTATCTCTTAAAAAATAATAATACTTAAGATATTTGGATATGAGGAATGAGCTATTTCTCTTTCAGTAAGCTGGAGAATTCAAATAATTTAAAAGTTGGAAAATACAAAAATTGTTTCATATATTTTGCATTATTTCTAGTGCAGTATATAAGCAAGCAAAGCTGGATCAAAGATGATTGGCATCTATTGATTTGATCTCTTTGACTCCCTCATAGAATATTCTAATATTAGTCAGCCCTAAAGCTGTACAGGATTTGCTGCATTTGCACCTCCTCCCCCTGAGCATAAAATGCCACCCGGTCTCAGGCATGTGTGGGGGGCGCTTTATTGCTCATTCACACTTGTTCATAAATGTATCCACTATTTGTTGCACTCCTGTATCTGTCAGCACTGTCCAGGTGCTGGGGATGCAACAGTGACCAAGACAAGAGCTGTCAGAACTACATCTACCTCTCTCGGGGTCATCTGCTGGCCTCTGGGCCAGAGGGATTGTTCTAGAACCGGTGCCTAGGGCAGACAGGAAATGCCTGGGAATTAACCCTCCCAGGGAGCAGCTCTCCAAGCCTCACTGAAGTCGGTGTCTACATTCCCCAGCCTCCTTGGCCCCTTGGGAGGGAGGACTCTGGGATGTGGGTTTTATACCATCTCAGTTTTTCCCTGGTGGGACTCAGCCCCGGCCACCTACCCTAGAAGCCCCTGTGTCGGCTGCCTTCCCACTGCCTTGGCTGCCTTGTCCCCCACTCCCCTCCTGGGTCTCTTCCAAACAGGCCACTCGCTCTTGAATTCTTGTCCCAGGGTCTGCTCTGCCCATGGAGAGAGGGATGGAGTGGCCAGCTACCTGAGGCCCCAGCCCGGCTTCCTCCCTCACGTCCTTGGTTTGTCTGTCTTCCCAGGACTACCCCTCCTACCCCGGCTTCCCCCAGAGCCAGTACTCCCAGTATTACAGCCCGTCCTACAACCCGCCGTACGTGCCGGCCAGCAGCATCTGCCCGTCGCCCCTCTCCACGTCCACCTACGTCCTCCAGGAGGCATCTCACAACGTCCCCAGCCAGAGTTCAGAGTCGCTTGCCGGTAGGTACAGTCGCTGTGACGGGGTCGTTCACAACTATGATCCGAGCCCTTCTCAGACGGACAGACCCAGACGTAGGTCCCAGTTGCAATGAACAGGTTACCAAAGAGCAAGAGCCATCTCTCGGGTGTGTTTTGTGAGCCATTCTGTGTGTGCGTGTGTGTGTTTAATTGTATTCATGATTTTTTTTTCTTTGAGTTGGAGTCTCACTGATGCCGAGGCTGGAGTGCATTGGCACGCTCATGACACTGCAGCCTCGACCTGCTGGGCTTAGGCAATCCTTCTACCTCAGCCTTCCAAGTAACTGGAACTACACCCGGCTAAATTTTTTTATTTATTGTAGAGGCGAGGTCTCGCCAAGTTGCCCATGTATTTGTGTTTAAAAGTCAAAAAACTTTACCTGAAAATTCTAATTTGTAGCTTCTCTTGAAAGAAGCTCAGGCCACTCCAACCACATTCCCAAGGAGCAACGCTTGGTTGACACTGTGTGTCTGTCCCTTTAGAAAGAACACACACGACTCCACATCTAGCCAACTTACCCCACATTCATTGCCTGCCTGGCCTGTGTAGGCCTTGGAGTTTATGAGTCCTGGTCCCAAAAGGGGAAAAAAACTAGTATTTACTGCGCATCTATTATGTACAAATCACACACCTATGTGGTCTTCTCTAATCACTTATGTATATATTTATTCGACAAACATTAGGTACCTACTGTGCTCCAGGCACTCGTTTAGCTTTGGTAATAAGATAACGTGCAATGTAGACTTGATCTTTGCAGAAAGTAATCAGACCATCACACAAATCCATGATTAGAAACCATGACAAGAAAAGCCATCATCCTCACAAAAGCAAATTTTGTATCACCTCCCTACATTTTCAATGAAAACCAGAATAATAAGGAACCTGCTGGTAACTGGTGGAGCTGGGATTCAAACCTGGGTCAGCTGGGCTCCATAACTAGTGCTCCTGCTACTCACTGGTCAGACCCAGCTGAGACTATGTTATCTAAAATCCGTTTGAGAACAGAAGGGCAGAGGCCTTCAAATGTTGTTTTTCTCTCTAAGAGGCCTTCAAATATAGTGGCTCAGGGTCCTCAAGAACTATAGAACCCTTCAAAAATCTCCTTAAGCCTGTTCATTCTTCATGGCACAATAGTTTTAGGAAATTTTTGTATTAGGGCTTTTTGGTTCCAAAAGATAGAAAAATCCAATCCGAACTAATTTAAGCAAAAAAAAAAAAAAAGGAAATTTTAGGCATATGCAACAAAGATTTATGAAGGACTAAGGCTGGGTCCAGGGACTCTGATGATAATATTGGGACTCAGTCTCTCTCTTCCTCCTGGCTCTGCATTTTCCAGGTTCATTTCATTCTCAAACAGGTCGCTCCCCTATGGTGGCAAAGATGACCACCAGCTAATTGGGATTCAGTCTTGCCTCTTAATCCATCCCAGTAAACAGAGCTCCTCCTTCCTAATAGTTCCTGCAACAGTCCCAGGTGAAGTTCCTGCTGGCCCTGCTTGGGTCACATGCTCATGCCTGAACCAGTCTCTGTGGTCACCAGCATTGGATGCTGGGACAGGGGAGCAGATGTGGGTCTCATGCCCACAGCTAGAGCTGGAGTTGAGGTCATCCCCACCTAAACCACGTGGACTGAGAGTGGCGGCAAGGTGGCACCTCCCACCCCAGAAAAGAAAAACTCAGACCAGGCTCGGTGACTCAGCCTGTAATCCCGTGCCTTTGGGAGGCTAAGGTGAGTGAATTGTCTGAGCCCACGGGTTCGAGACCCACCTGGGCAACTTGGCGAGACCTCATCTCTACAATAAATCAAAAATTAGCCAGGCGTGGTAAGCGCATGCCTGTAGTTCCAGCTACTCGGAAGGCTGAGGTGGAAGGATCACTGGAGCCCAGCAGGTCGAGGCTGCGGTGGCCGAGAGCAGCCACTGCACTCCAGTCTGCACGTCCACTGCACGACAGAGTGAGACTCCAACTCAAAAAAAAAAAGAAAAACTCAGAACACTGTAACAAAAAGAAGACAGAAAAGACAGGTGAGAAAAAAACAGCAGATGTCCACACCTTGATATGGATGCCATGTTGACTATGAGCACCTTGCGCCAGTGCCTGTGTCCTGACCCCTTGGCGATCACAGAACTTGGTGTGTACATTCTTTACAACTAATTCACCAGCCTGTGGATTCATTCATTCATTGCACAAATATGCTATGCACATATCTTCTCTTTTACGAGACTGTTTGGGCTTACCGACATTAAATAACATGGCAGCAAGACATTAGAGTGTCTGAATGCAAAGTAGCTATCATTGAGTTCTGTTCTTCTATCTTCTTTTCTGAACCCTACTGATGTGGTAGGACTCTATGGACACTGAGCTAGCGTGGAGGTGTGCACACATTCATGAATAAGTGTTAACTGCTTGATGGCTGGAAATGGTACACTAGGGAAGACCTGCCTCTGTTGGTCCTGGGGTAGCTGTTAATTTTGGCCTGTGTATTTTCCATCGCCGGGGGTGAGTGAGTTATCCTTGGTTTGATGACAAGAGGAGACATGGTCAAGTATGTTCAAGTCAACTCTTTAAAAGTTTTAGGGCTCAAGCATTGATGTTGGATATTGTGAGCGCATCCCAGAGTACTGAATGAATGCATAGTGCCTATTTTAAAACTTTCAGATTGCTTTCTTTGAAGGGTTTGAACTGGAACACTTTTCTTTGTCATAATCTTGAATTATCTTTGGCCATCCTGCCTTTCAGAATATGACCCATCCAACCTGGTTTCAGCAAAAGAGAAAAACAAAACACTGATGAGAAATTAGAGCAGAGAGGAAATAGAAGCAGGAAGTTGTCAAGGAAATGCCACTCTCCAGCTAGAATTCGATGGTGAACCAAAAACTGACTTCCCAGGAATCTGGGTCACATGGGAAGGTCATCTTTATTCCCCATGAAGAGTGAATATAAAGGCCCATTGTGTCTCTTTGGAATGTTTCTTTATTGTTTCCCCCTGTTCTTCATGTAGCCTTTGAGCCAAGGTTCAACTATAAGTGGTTGGGATGGTTTTTACTTTGTGTCTAACAAGCTCACATAAAATCTAATGGCATGGATCGTTGGCAGCTATCACTGAGGTCTCGTGCCTCTTCTCTCCAGTGTTCATTACAAAGGCAGGACATGTACACACACACCACACACACACACACACACACGCACACACACACGTACACACTCATGGACCCTTAACATTTCCCATAAAAACTCCGCTTTTGAAATTTCCAGGATATCCTTGAGTGGTTGGTTCCAAATCCCAGAGGTTCAAGAGGTGTCTGTGTTTCTGACAGATCACTCCCACTCTTGGATTTGCCTGGATACAGTATTTCCATGCTCTTCACCAATCCTGTCCCTCCCTACACACCCATCCCCAACATCCCCACTGCAGTATACTCTGTATTGACATGCATTCACATTTATACGAAGTGCCAACCATTTGCAGATGATTGCAGGGCAATTTCCTGATGTACAGGGCAAAATCCGAACATCTGACATTATTCAAAAGAAAAAAAAACGAATCCACATTGGTTTTGCATAAGGAATTTTTTCTTTTAAAATGTTTAAATATGATGCAAATTATCTTAAAAGGAGGATTTTTTTTAACTTCTAACATCTCCCTCAGTCAATAGAATTTTTTTTTCCTTAAATCTCTCAAGAAAAAAACTTAGAAACCTCTTTTGTGCAATTTGGCAATATCTAACAAAATTTAAAATGCATGTACCCTTTAACCCAACTATTCTAAGAATTTATCCAGTCTAAAAATTTATCCTAAAGATAAACATTCACTTAGGTGCAAAGACTTAAGTGAAGAGAATATTTATTGCAGCAACATCATAGCAAAGGACTGGAAACCACCTGGATCACCATTAACAGGAAACAGATTAACTAAATAATGGTGCATCCACCAGTGGCCTACTAACCAGCTGTTAAAAGAGCACATTCCTGTGCTAATAGGAGTCTCTCTCTCAGCTATTGTGATAGGAAAAAAGAGGAAGGGCTACATGTTTTTTGTTTTTTTTTAAAGTATAAGTGTAGCTTGGTACCCATATTTGCATAGGAAATTTCTAGAAGGATGCAAAAGTAACTGTTAATAGTCATATTCTCTGGCGAGTAAAACCAGAACTGTGGAGTGAAAGGGAAAGACTGCATGTAACAGATGATCTATAGCAGGGGTCCCCAAACCCCAGACCACAGCCAGGTGCCAGTTCATGGCCTGTTAGGAACCAGGCCACATAGCAGGCGGTGAGTGGCGGGCAAGCCGGCGAAGCTTCATCTGTATTTGCAGCCACTCCCCATCACTTGCATTACCACCTGAGCACCGCCTTCTGTCAGATCAGCGGTGGCATTACATTCTGATAGGAGCGTGAACCCTACTGTGAACTGCACATGCAAGGGATCTGGGTTGTGTGCTCCTTATAAGATTCTCATGCCTGACAATCTGAGACGGAGCTGAGGCAGTGATGCTAGCACTGGGGAGTGGCAGTAAATACAGATTAACATGAGCAGTGAGGTTTGACTACACAGAGACCATCATAAATCAATTGCTTGCAGACTCATATCAAAACCCTATCAGTGAGTGGCAAGTGAATTCATGTACTTCAATTGTACAGCTGTATCTGGTGACAGGCTTTCAGTCAGAATCTGACACTTATTTTAGTCCACATGTGACCTGCCCATTATTTTATTTACTGCTTCTGTCCACAACTTTTTTTTTAATGGCAAGTTGTATAATTATTTTACTATATATTGCAATGCAATGATAATAATAGAAATAAACACAATAAATGTTATGTACTTGAATCATCCCAAAGCCATCTCCTCACCCCCAAATCCATGGAAAAATTGTCTTCCACAAAACCAGTCCCTGATGCCAAAAAGTTTGAGGACCACTGATCTATAGGACACTCCAGCAATAGCAAATACACGTTCTTTCTAGGTGTCCATGGGACATTTAC